AGTTGTTGCCGCATTTCTTTTATTGCAACAGAAAAATATTGTTGTTCGCATATGGATAAATGAGTCAAACTTTCATTCGTATATAACAATTGTAATGTTGAAATATCATCTTCATTCAATTGACTATTGTAAAATTCAACATAAGTTAATGAATGACGTTCTTTAGAAGCATAAACAAGTGCTTCTATAAATTGATGAGAAATAATGGATTCCGAAATACGTAAATGAGAAATAAATGAATCATTTAATAATGTATTAATAAGACAAATTTCATTTTTATTTGATGGTTGAATATCGAAAATATGAAGACGAACATGTTTTATTGATTTATGTCTTCGTAATACATTTAGAAGTTCAATAGTAGCAGCTTTATCATCCATAGAAGTTTGATCTATAATATCAAGATCAATAAGAGTTTCATTTTGTCCTATTGCTTGACATAGACCATATAGAGTAGATGATAAATTAAAACAATAACTTAATTTTATTCGACTTGGTGAATAATTTGAAGTAATAATTTCATTTAAAAATTCAATATTCATAAAATGATTGATAATTAATGTTGTTAGTTCTTTATTCTTTTTGAGACTATGTAATAGATCATGATTGTGTATGGAAAGATCATAACCAAAAAAATTAAATGTTCGACATATTTTATTTTGTTGTAAAAGTTGAATGAATATTTTTATGTCTTCATTTTGATGATTAGAAAATTGTACTGTCAATGATTGATTTTTAAAAGACACAGCCATATAATTACAAATATATTTAGACATTTTCATCCATTTACGAACTTCAACAGACATAATTATTAATCGTTGAATAGAAGAACGATTGATGATAACATCAAATAATTTGTCAAGATCCTTTATATTAAATGAACAGTTTTGAAGAACAAGAGTTAAAATTGTAAAACCTTTTGTTAAAGCATCACAAAATATTGTTATATTTTTTGTTGTTAAACTTCCTGTTAGAATAACTTCTTTTGTTTCTTGATTAAATTTTCCTCCAAAAGCTTCCAATTGACGAATATATTCTGACATTTTATTATTAAAACTCATAGTATGATAATGTTCTAAACATACCCAACGAACATGACCATCATTAGTAATTGTTCGATAAAGATTTCCTAAGCTATGTTTATTATCAATAAGTTCTAAGAAAGCTTCAAGTTCTCGAAGTTGTGCACCTTGAAGTGAAATTTCTGGTAATACTACTTTTCGAATCATAGATGAATCTACACGTGAAAGTTCATCATGAGTTGTTTGATTAAGCATTTTTTCAACTAAATCTAATTTATTATTGATATCCGTATAGTTATTTGACTCTTTAATAAATGATGGTAAAGCATTAGCTACAACGCTTGATACATTTTCTGATTGAGGAATAACAAAACCTCCAATAGAAAATAGATTTCGAGCAATATTTAATGTTGTTCGTAAATAAGATCCATAATTAGCAATAAATTCACTTGGTTTTTTAATTGAATAACCATCATGAGGAGCAATATGTAGTTTATCAGGCTCATCGGAACATTCACATAAGAAATATAATTTATAATGAAGAAGAAATAAATTCTGTATAGTATTAATTGAAGTCCAATTATGATGTTTTACTGGTAAAATAAAAAAATAACGAGGTGTTGTATATTCATGTAATTCATACATTTGTGTCATTACATGTTTTATTCGAATAAGAGTTTCTTGTGTATTAGCAAGAATAATATCAGTTTTTTTGTTCATTTCTTGTATTTTTGTATCAATACGATCAAAGTATATATTCAGCTGATTGTTCGATTTTTCTATAGGTTCTATAGCTTCAATAATTTGATCATTGATTGCTTCAATACGTAATGGAATAAGTTGATGACCATTATTATCACGAAGAAAAGCTAATTGAATATTATCAATACATAGTACAGTTGCTGAAGGAAAACGTCGTTGTACATCTTCCAAACACAAACATTCAATATCATTTAAAACAACTGTTTGAATTTGTACAATAGTATCATGAAAACGAACTAACTGACTTCTTGTTTTAGGAGTAATTTGTTCCATAATAATTTATTGTAACAACTATATAGACAAAAAACAAATAAAATAGAATGACTTATTTATCTTATGATACTTACTAGGGAAAAAAATGCTTCAATGACACATACTACGGTTTTTGACAACATACAAAAAAGTAACGTGATGAATCTTGTCTTTTCTGTTTCGTCTTTGTTTTTCTGTTATCAGCAATAAAACAACTATTATGACAACGAACACGCCTTTGTTACACAATTACATTTGAATAATACAAGGAAAATAACTTTTTACAGATAACTTGAATAAATGAGGATTTTTTAAAGTCTTCTCATGATATTCATCTTTCTAGATAGACTTCTGCCGCTTAAAGCTTCAAAAGATTTACTTCATGCCATTATGTACTTGTTCTGACATTGTAGCAGAGTATTACATTGGATATATTTTGAAGCATTGTGCACAAGGAAGATATCAACTACAATTTACTTGTGATTCATGCATGCTACGCTAATCTAATAGAATGGCGGAGTTAGCGCGAATGAAAATATGACGAACAACAGCATCCATGTCCTCGATATGTTTTTTCATTGAAAACACGAAACTGCCATTGCTGTCAGAAATTCAAATGCAATGCTTGATGTATCGTTGTCCGCTTCAACGTTATTCGTGAGGCTGACTAAACCTTATACATGTAGTTCACCAATTGCAGCACAACCAATCATTATCGAATTCGTATTTCAATGCAATGAGAATGTTCAGTTGATGTAAGGCATTCTTATCTGGATTAGTAGTACCAGTAGTATCTTCATGCATGAGATCTATCCTACATCAAAGTTTAAAGCAAGAGATGATTTAAAATGTATCCTATATTATAGATTGTCGTTATACATTCTTCTAGGTTCGCAAAGACCATAAAATCGATTTGTTCGAAAAATGTGTGTAGCTCTCGAGCTGCGAAACATACAATAGTCATTAGAAAGAGTGAAAATTTTCATAAAATCTTCTTAATGTATGAGTAAAATGTGCAGCTGATTATTTCTTAGTAACAGTTTCCACTAGCGAATTACAAGAACCTCAATCAATCTAGAAAATGTCTATATAAGATGAACTAATGATAAGAAATAAAGATATATGTAGTGAAGAAGAGAGAGTACATGACTTATTTCATATTTTAAAATGTCGAGAACGAAAAAGCAAATGTGTAAATCTTTTTTTTATGATAAAATTATGTATCTATCAAGACATCTGTCCTATATAAATAACATTTTAACATTGAATCAGCTATTGTCAACAATGAGAGCGAACATAAAAATGTCTTTCTTTCTTTTTATTCGAGGTTGAAGAACTCTGTGCTAAACAACTTTTCTTATATTTTTTTTTTGGTCATTTACTGATAGGCATAAAAGTCTTTCATAGAGAAAACTTCAATGACCTTGGAATTTTTTTTCTTTTCTAAAAACAAACTCAAGGAGTAACTCAGCTTGTGTAACAAAAAAAAATTTTATAATCAACCTTTATGTTAGTAACGAATACGGACAATAAACATTAGGAACAAAGTAAACAAATTTTGAATGTATACATAAATTTATCTCGAATCTCTCTTATTCCAATATTGGCTTTTAATACAAAAAAAATATGAATAGACATTACTACTTTTATTTAAACATCTTTTTTTCATGACGATCGAAGCATATGCAACAAGTACAAGTGAGTAAATATTTAAATCAATTTTATTCAAGTCTTAGAAATCGATATATGAAACTGACGTACGAGCACATTATTTTATACGATCAACAACAAACATTTGAAATCTTTCATAATCAAGAAAAAAAAGCAATTCAACTATGTGTTAAAATAAAATGTATTTAAGAATCTGTTTATATGAGTTTTATTTCGTGTGATTGTCTTTAATTTTATAACAAATAAACAATATGAAATTTAATATAATTAATTAATTTAACTTATTTAAATGTATGTGTTTTAGATGAATTAGCTATCATGACCAGCGTCAATAAAATTTAAATGAAAGACCATCATTATCCAGCGATACTTCTTATGGTAGACCTTTATTCGTCACTCTTCATCAATACTATTTATTAACCTCTCTTGTATTTATAGACGTTATTTCTTAGAAGAAGTAAACTTGAACAACACCAATGGCATTCAGACATTCGTTTTTTTTTGCACATTATTATAAAATGAGTCGACTAAATGTTCTTTTGTCTAATAGTTTTTTTCTTCTTAATTAATTTTAAAATATGAAATAGACTGAATTCTGAAATTATTTATAATGATTCTTTCGAATATTTTCAGTCTCGAACCCTACTCCTTCATTCCGTGGTTTTTTTTTTCAATCTGGTTCTTCAAGTCACTTCGAAAATAGGATATAATTTTTATCGATTAGTTGTATTCTACTACGAACATACTCAACAAAATGAACTCAAACTAGTAACGTAACTAGGTATGAGCTAGGCCGGGCACTACTCCATCATTAACATTGTATTTCATGGATCTCTTTCAAGATTATAGGTTACTCTCCTACCATCGATGATGGTCTCACGAAACCAAACTGGTTTTAAGAAAATGAAGACAAACAGAACTCGAATTAGTAAAATTCGCTTCGATTCGGCATCTGTTTCTACAACAATCGTGATGATGAGAATTTATTTATAGATTTTGTTTCAAGAATGGCCAAGTACTTGAATTATTTAATTTTTGACATTGAGCTTTTTTTTTCGCTTTAGATGGTTCAATATATAATAGCTTTATAACTTTGATTATCAAAGAAATAGTTTATTAATTCATTTATTTAGACTTTTAAAATAAATGAAATTCGTAAATTGCTTGAATGAATAAAAATCAAAAAATACTTTCAAATATATATTAATTTTTTTAAGAAATACATCGGAATTATAACAAAATTATTCTTTATTTTGTATGATTAATAAAAAGAAAAACTAGAAAGATATTTTATTAGAACGAAGCGATTGATTTAATATCCGATGGATGAATATTTGCACCACGTAAAAGTTTAACAAATGACGAATTTGGATTAGCAGCTAAACGTATTGGCTCATCATATTCTTGTAAAGAACCGTTCGATAAAACAAGAATTCTAAATAAATAAAAAGTTTTTATTTATATCAAAAAAAAAGAAATACTACAGACTTAGTACTATCTAAAATTGTATGCAAACGATGAGCAATTGTTAATACAGTTGCATGTTTAAATCTTAAACGAATAGTTTGTTGAATGAGTCGATCTGTTTCCATATCAGTCGCTATTAAAAAGAGTCATAAATTAATAATTAAGAAAAAAGATCTTGAAATACACACCAGCAGTTGCTTCATCAAATATAAATATTTTACTTTTTCTTAAGAGAGCACGTGCCAAACATAATAATTGTCTTTCACCAGCACTACAAACACAAATACCATCAAATATACATATATATATAAACAAATAAAAGAATTTAATTCACCTCATATTCTGACCTCCTTCTGCTAAAAGATGTAATAAACCATTTTCCATCATATGAATACGTTCTTTTAAATGTACTAATTCTAATACAGTCCATATTTCTATATCACTATAATTACTAAATGGATCAATATTGAATCGTACAGTACCAGCAAATATGATTGCATCCTAAAACACATGAAAAATATTTATATAATCGATCGACAATTAGATACAATGAATTACTTGTGGAATAATAGTTATCTTTGATCGTAAATCATGTAAACCAATAAGGCAAATATCAACATCATCAATAATAATTGTACCATTGGTTGGTTCAATCATACGAAAAAGCGATAAACATAAACTACTCTTTCCACTGCCCGTACGACCAATAATTCCAATCTAAATTTAGTTTAAATGCATTTGATTTTGAGTATATATATATATATGTCACCGTGCAATCTAAAGATTCATCTACTGAGTTTATTCTCAACAAAATACAATAGTGTTTATATAGAGAGTGGTTTGCTTTCGACATATATTCCAAAATTATTCTTAAGGCCTCCTTCTTCAAAATTCGATCTCAGGCTAGGAACGTTCGAATGGCATGAAATTTTCAAGATATATTGGGGCTGAACTATGACTATGGTAAAATTTTCAGCCCTGTAACATGACGTTTGACGGAGATATCGGCTAAACAGGGGTCAAAAAATAGCTAATTTCGTCTCCGAAATTTCTCTGTTCTCTTCAGTCTATACATTTAATATTTTCTTTGTGTTAGAAAGAGCATATCAGAATGCAGTGCCTATGAGAGTCCTTTTTTAAAACTCTTACTTTTTAAGGGATCGAAAGTTCAATGACTCAAAGAACCTCTCCAAAAATGGCGCTCTAATTATATAAAGGTTTGTATATATAATAAAGGCAAAGTCTAATTAAAAAAAACTGGCTCTCATAGGCACTGCAGTTTTACACGCTCTTTCAAATAACAAAAACTATTGGCTATAATGAAGCTGCTTCGAGAAATCTTGGAGATGCGATCGAAAAATATTTTCGGTTTTTTTCAAAAACAGCTTGTTTTTCGAATAGGGGACGAAGGAAACCTTAGATAATTTTTGGAAAAAAAAGGACGTATCGAGTAAAACTTTTTGTCGTTTATAAGAAATCTTATGATGGGCCATCTTTTCCTGCGTTTATCTTAATTTCGTTGATTTTGACGAAAAGTGACTTTTTTGAGGGGGATGCGCAAAAAGTTATATAAAGCATTTTAAAATGTGTTCGAGTTCCTTGAAGAATAGGAACATGAACATTCCTAGTGAAGGATGTGGATCTGGATCAGAGATGAAACTGGTCTGAAAAGATGGGGCCGCACCGGCTGGTCTACTGGTGACGAATAATATATCGATAATTCACAGTACCAGAGAAAGAGTAGTTTAGATATGCAAAATTCGTTTTATCGCATGACAAACTTGATGTGCCAAAGTATATCACATACCTCATATAGAGATAGAACCAGTCTGAATTTTTGACGACTGATACTAGTACTAGTCTGAAAAGGTCACGCAGACTAATCTATCAGTTACCAATCAGTCTCAAACTCACACCGGCACCGGTTCCATCTCTGGTCTGGATGTACTTGAATGTAATTTACTTTGTCTCTAATTCAAAATTAGATGCTAACGGGTATTTTACCTTTTCGCCAGATTGAATATTGATCGAGAAATCTTTGACTACTACTTGCAAATTTTCTCTATATCGTAATGATAAGTTCCTAATTCTAGAAAATAGAAATTTCTACAAAAAACGAAAAAATTATATTCTAGAATTAATTTACTGTATATTTCCATTAGTTGGCCAACGAGGTGATGGTTTTGTTAGTGGAATCTCCCATGGAGCTTCAGGTGTTAATTGACCATATTCATTAATACGTTCAACACTAACAATATTTGTTTCAATATCACTTGATGTACGAACAAGCATATTGAAAGAATGTGTAATTTGTAAAGCATAAGTTATCATTAAACCAACAGTACCAGCTGTTAAATAATTACGCATAAATACAGCTGTTATAGCTATTAATAATGTAAGTAAATTAGCAATCATTTCTAAATGAAAGCCAAGCCATCTAATAAAAATAATAATGATCAAAGAAAATAAATATTTAATTTATGTTTATTAAATCAAACCTATTTGAAACAGAACTAGCTAAATTACATGATTGATTTCTATCCATATATTTATCAGATAAATCAATAAAACGTTGTTGTGCATGATAAGCACGTATCGAACTAAGACCTTGAATTGTTTCACTAAAATTTGCAAATATTAAACTACGTGTAACTGAATCAAGACGACGCAATTGTCGAGAAGACGATATATAAATACGCTTATAGATATATAAAATATTATGTACTACAATATTTAACGAAAAATAAATTCTACCTGAATATATATAAAAAGAAAAGCAAGTGGTATAAATTCAATTATAGCAAACCATGATCCATAGGTGAGTATAATTAATGTAGCAATAACTGTAATAAGTGTTGTTAATGCTTGAGAAAAAGCATTTGGTAATGCAGAATCAACTGAATCAATATCTTTCGAAAATCGATTAATAATACGACCAATTGGTGTTGTATCAAAGAAAGACATTGGTGCATGAAGAATTCCTATAAGAATAATCCCATGTAATTGTCGACCGGCGATATATCCAGCTAGTTTTTGACTTAATTGCATAGCGAATGCAAGGAAACCTGACAAATGAAAATGAATAGAACAAAAAAAATCAATCATTGAAATGCATTTGAATACCTTGAATAATTCCCAATATTGAATAAATATTCATATAATAAATTTGACTAGTCCTTGATGATTTAGTATTTGTTATATTTATTACTTTTACTTCATCTGTCCATTTTGATAACCAAATATTAGTGCTTAGAGTAGCAAATATTGTTAAAGAAAAAAATAAACTAATTAATGTAATCATTATTAATTTACATGAACGTATATAAATTAAAAATATATTTAATTTTACCTAGTATAATAGTTTAGAAAAAAAGAATTAGCTTAAATACTCAACAAAAAAACCGGTACTTACTGAACCTGTCTGTATAGCTTCGTTTTGAATGATCTTTTTCTTTTCTTCTTCTATTTCAATTATAATTGGTTGTAATTCATCTTGTTGAATATTAGTATCAGTAAATTCAAATGAATTATGAATTAATTCTGATGGAGTCGTAGGAATACTTTTTGGACTTTCTAAAATAATAAATGAATCCTTTTTATTGAAACTTTAAAATAGTTAAAACCGTATAGTTAAAAACAATCTAAGTACGATCTATAAGGAGTTCTGCGATCTTGCGGTTTGAGGTACCGCCTAGCGGCAGATTTCAATAGCTTAATATTTTTTCTACAAGTATGACTGGATGTAGTTCTAGACAGAAGATTGACCTAATGCAGAATTTTTGTACTCAATTACTTGAGTTTTCCAAATACAGTAAGTAACTACAAGAGCAGGCATATATATATAACGTAATCGAGTAGCAGGAAGTTCGCCAATTGGTGAAAGTCAGGTGAAAAGTCGCCCATAATGGCGAAATTCTACATCATTCTCGGTTAGTTGAGCAGAGAATGCTCATATATGATATTGTAAGTTGTCAATGCTGTTTCTATTTCTACGATCTTACTAATTTAGCGAGCACACAGTAGCCTTCAATTCATAGTTGAATAAACTAGCGCTCGTCGTTAGTATATGTTTTACTCAGATATTTTGTAGATTACTCAATGGATGTCACAGCGCGTCCTTCAATGCATCTACTTCAAGTAGATAGACTGTCAACATATCTAACAAATCAAACAATGACTGATCAACCATGTACACAATTCGAGTCATTATTCGCTTATTCTTTGGTAGTCTTACTGCTGGAGGAAAAAAAGAAAGCTTCCATTTAGACATATCACTTTTATTATGAAGATTATTGTCAGATTGTACTTAGGTCATTATCTTTAGTCTGCTCCTAGTTTAGTTCCTTTCGCTATTTTGTTTTTGCAACGTGTTTTACTAACTCCGCATGACTTTCACCAGGTATTGGCGAAATTCTGAATTCCCACGGAATCTGTATATCGTCGAGCGGGCAATCGAAGACAAATAGTCGTTAATGACTTGTCCGAAGTCATTCCATAGCTGGCGATCAGTGGCATAGTCAGGGGTAGGGCCATTGGGCAATTGCCCATAGCTCCAAAAGTTATTGCCCATGGATTTATTGAGTTATGTAGTGCTTGAACAGTTATTGCCCATAGATATTTTTGAAATCATAACGGTTGCCCTTAGCTGCCCGTAAATCAACATAGTTCGGCTGATGAATTGTCCATGACTCAAAAATTCCTGGCTACACCACTGCTGGCGATACTGATGCTTTCACACAATACCTTGCGGATACGTGCTGAACAACATAGCTTAATGCGATTTTCCTTGCTGCTGATCGTGACAGACGATATTGATATGCAATCAAAGACTATATATCAATAACGTTTTGTTATAATATATGAACTACTTTCTTCTTACATTTCCGGAAGATTATCATCGCGTTTCATATTAAAACGCCACAGATATTACCTTAACAGCTTTTTGAACAAATAGTATTCTATAGTCTTTTATAAAATATTTTTATTTACCAATATCACTTGTTTGATGTTGATAGTGTTCTGTACGAGACGTAGCAACAGAATGAACAAAATCTTGTAAAATTGTGCTTCTAATCATCAAATCATGATATGATCCATGATCAACTATTTCACCTTGTGAAACAACCATAATATCATCACATTTATTTAAATGAGATACACCATGTGTAACCAAAAGACGAGTCTATTAATTATATTTGATTTTTGAATAATAATCATAGATTCTTACTTTATTTTTTAATAATCCTTTAGGTCCAATGACATGTTTAAAAATATAAGTACCAACATGTGCATCAACAGCTGAAAGTGGATCATCAAGAAGATATATATCAGCATTACTATATAATGCTCGAGCTAATGAAACACGTTGTCGTTGTCCACCAGATAAATTAATACCCTATAATTATAAAAATAAAAACGAATCAATTTAAAAATTCGAATAACAAAATTTCTTTCTATGATGTTAATATACTTTTTCACCAATTTCAGTTTCATCACTTGCTGGAAGCATTTCTAAGAACATAAATTTAAAATTATTCTAATGTAATTTACATTGAAAATTATCATTGATTCTTTTTTATACCAAGATCTTGTTTTAAAGCACATGCTTCAATTATACGATTGTATAAATTCTTATTAAAATCTCTTCCAAAAAGAATATTTTCTTTTAATGTTGTATTCATAATCCATGCTGTTTGTGGTACATAAGCAATAGTTCCATTGACACACACACGTCCATGAATTTTATTCATTTCACCAAGTAATGCTGCTAAAATACTACTTTTACCTGAACCAACCATACCAACAAAAGCAATAAGTGAACATTGTTCAATTTGAATATTGATACTTAAAATGAAAATTATCATATATATATATATATAAATATTTTGTTGAATACTAACTTTTTTAAAACTAATGAATCATCATTAAGATTTGACCAACGAAAAGAACCATTTTCAATTTTTATTGCATATTTATCTGAAAACTTTGGAATAAATCATTTTAATTCTACAACTTACTATTACTTACTTGACTCAAAAGGTATTCTTTCAACTGCATTTTCATCAATTTCTTCAGTATGCAAAAACTTTTCAATACGTTTATTTGATACACGTGCCTATAGGAAAAAAAAACTAATAAACTTTAAAATCAAAACGAACCTTTTTTATTTACTTCAACAACATTATTAAAAACAGTAGGAAAAGAAACAAGTGGACTACGAAGTAGATTAAACAATGCTAATGATACAAAGGCTTTATCAGCTGTTAAAACATTCGTATCTGATAAAAGAACATAAGTTGAAAATGTCATTATACCAACCTTAACAAATATATAAATCTAATCATACAAACAAAAACAAAATTCTAAATCTTTATTATATTCTTACTAGAATTGGTGTAAATGTCCAAAGAACATTTGATATAGTACTAACAATAGCTTTTTTTCTTATATATTCAAGTTCTTTTTCTCGAATATGAGTAATTGTACGTATAAATGCTATTTCCCATGCATATAATTTTAATACTCGAATACCATTAAGTATTTCATTTGTCATTTTAATACGTTGATCTTTAATTGTCATTTGTTTTAACTAATTTAATAAAAATTCAAAAAAAACAAATTAAATTTATTTCATATTATTTATATATACTGTAAGTTGTTTTTGAATTCTTTGTAAATATAAATTCAATGGAATCATAATAAATAATAATGTAACACCAGGTATTATAGCAAATTTCATTTGTTGATAGAGTAATATTAATGCAATTAAAAGTTGAAGTGGACCTATCGAAATAATTAAAATAAATTAATATCTAAAATAGAAAATAACCGACATATACCTGACCATAATATATGAATATGTTGAGTTACTTCACTAAATCTTGAAGCATCAATAGCGATCTATTCAAAACAAAAAAGAAAAAGCATAAAATAAAGAGAAAAATTTCAACAAACCAGATTAACAATTTCACCAGTTGTTGTTTCCTGTTTAGATGAATTTGATAATTTCAAACTCTAAACATAAAAAAACACACATGAAAGGCTTTTCGATATAACTCACATGTGTTCTTTAATCTTATTATACTAATGCAAAATTCATCTCTAGCAGACACTATTTGTATTGTCTAAGGAAAACGATCTATCGTATTGGTTTTTACTGATACTCTATTTTTTGTTTGCCTTGTTATTATTCTAGCTATTGATTTAATTATGCTGTACAGATCCATTGAATCTACAACAGGTCTTAGTAAGCTCATAAACACTAATATTGATTATTTTCCTAAGTTATAAAATGATCAGTTCACATTTTTATTTGAAGAAAAATAAGAAAAGAACTGCACTGTTTAGAATATTGAACAACATATTCCAGCCTACTGAATTTCGGCGTAGGCTTTTGGGAATGTTCTGAATGACTGAAATAGGACAACATATACTCTAATATATGGATTATTTTATCATATAAAAGTCTTTGTTCCTCTTGTTAGCATTAGTTAAATAATGTCATTAGTAAGGATCAAAAGTTTGTTTTACTATGAATTAAGGAAATACTCCTGAGAAAATTATATTTGATCTGAAGCTTGCAGCTTACTAAGCTTTGGCACAAATATGTATTGAATACAATGTGTTGACACAATTTTCCAGAACATCGAATTAGACGAAATTTCCATACAATGCATTTCCGCATATAACATATATTTAGCAGTAGCACGAATTAAAGCGAGAATTCCAAGGTTCAGCTAAAGATCTTCTTTACAAAACTCATTTTTCTCGATCAAGAAACATTTTTATTGAAGATTAACTTCATTATTGGAACCATCTAGATGTGTAAGCTGAAGGATCAAACAGCGCCGACGGTTTTAATAGTCAAATTTTTTCCATAGTGGCGGCTGCTATACTTTATGTTTTTCTGCACCGGGTGGTGGCTTTAACAACCAAAAGAAGAAAAAGCGTTTCTGCTCCTACAAGACGAAAAAATGACCGATCGCATATGTATCGATGTCAACGGCGGCGACGGCTAGAAACTTCTTAAAATTATATATGATTCCGTGGCGGCGGTGGCGTGTACGGCTTACACTTCTAGAACTAGCATCAAATGATTTTCCATGTATACATTGAGTAAGGATCTCTCACAATAATTTTCCAATAAAACAAAGGTTCTTTTTTTGGATTCTACATTTATGAAAAATACCTTCTCCCGTTGCTGTCGGTAATTAGCTAAAATAGAACATTAAATAACTAACCTTTCGATATACAAGTCCAGTAACTGCTGAACGAAATCGAAGTCCAATAAGAAATTGTTGATGAAAATAAGCTCGTAAAAGTATTATGTGACAAAAAACTGTTATACTTAAAAGGATTGCATAGAAAATACCTAACCATTTTGGTTTTGTTGAATCCGTAAAAAAATTAAGAAGTAATCTTAAATGAAAATTAATCTTTTAAATTAAATAAATAAACATTAAAAAAAAACGCCAATGATATTTACTTTAATATCATAGGACCACTAAATTGTATAATATCATGAAGAAATTTGAGGAAACCACCAATAAAAAGTTTATCTTTATATGTGCAAAATAAAGCATACCAAAAAATAGATGTTTTCTTAGATTTCGATGACGATTTTTTCACATCAACCATTGGCTTTAAATAGATTTTATCGTAAAATTACAAATAATAAAAATATAATCACTTACAACATTATCAAGCTAGAGGAAATTAAAAATTAATTATTAAAATCAAATAAAAAAAAACAACATTTACCAAATTTTGATGTTCATCTTCTGCTTGATTTGAATAAGAAAGTTTAATATTATTTATTGAATTTTTTTCACATGATGTCCAACTATTTATTCTGGATAAAACTTAGAACAAAAATAAAATAAAAGATTATTTACCCTTTCATATAATTTCGTACTTGATGAACAACAGCAGCAGTTCGTTCAGATATTGGTAAATCCCAACAATCTTTTTCTGTAAGTGGTTTTTTATAACCTCGAAGAATTAATGGTGTTGCCCATGAATAAGATATTCGCGATAGAAAACTTTCATGAAATTCAGGAACAATAGGCTAAACATATAGCTTTTAGTTTTTTATTGTCAAAACATTATTCGATAAATATTTAATCCTACTCGTTCATCAAGTGTTGTTTGATGAGCAATAATATATTTTTCAGCAAAACAATTTGTTATAAATAAACCAAATGCAAACAAAAATTGAAACCAAACAATAATAAATTCTATCCATAATGATATTGATTTGATCTATACAAATAATTATGGGTAATATGAACGTATTCATAGAAAAAAAACTGTTTTTTTTTTCTACTTGTTGATAAAATTTAACAGAATAATCAATTATATCAGGTAGAATTGCTAAACAGACTAATAACCAAAAAATAAAAAGTAAACCCGAAGAAAAAACACTCTTCAATCGATCATAATTCATTAACCAAAGAATAAAACTTATTGTTATTATATATAAAATTGACGTCAATACATAAGCTAGACCCTTTTCATCTGTCCATAGAACAACATAATGAACAAGACGAAAAATTTGTATCAAAATAAATAGACAAGCAAATATCTATAATAATCATAATGATTTATATACAATTAACATAAACAATCACCATTTAGATCATCAATAAAAAAATTATTCGAATTTTATACTTAAATTTAATATTCAAAGATATTTTTATCAATGATCTAAATAGTTCGATGTATTTACCATTTTAATAATCAATAGTAGAGAAACTACAAGTGCTTGTGATTTTAATTGTCGTTTATTTAATATATAAAGCCATAATGGTAAAATTAACCAAAAAATACTTATAGGTACCCATTGTAAAATTGTATTTCGAAAACATTCAGTTAAATATGGATATGGTAAATTAGTCACATTTTTATCCTAAATAATTTCTTTTAGAAAAAAAGAAATAGCTCATAGAAAACATACACACCCAAAATGGAGTTGTGCACAAACGTATCATATCTAAAATATATAAATATCAGTATAACTTATGACACAAACTAGTACAATATCAAATTGATATTAATCGTTACTTAAACACCGATAGTTTAGCTATGTTGATTAATGAATAAGAAAAACATAAAATTTTTCGTTTTTGTACTATTGACCATTCTAGAATTAAATTCAAATCATACTTAAACATTCTTTCGAGCAGAATATCATGATTTCAAATACACAAAAATAATGTGCATATTTTATTTTTTTATGTGCTTATTGAATAGCTACAACCAGAAAGAAAGAGAGAAAGAGTGAAAATAATCACATATTTTACAGTGAAGGTTAATAGATGCTTATCTACAATACACACTTGCACATGTGCCTAAGTAATCAAGACTAAAATAAGGTATACTCTATACTTTACGAACACATAAAACACATGGAGCATACTCATATCGATGAATACATTGCACTGATGTAAACATGTTTACATGACATAATACCTTTTGACTATTCTCCGCTTGTTTCTTTTTCAATTCAAATTACATTTGATATCTAAGGACAAAGGTCCATAGTTGGAAGAAACGAAAAGACACTTGGAAATGGATGTGTCGGCTATCTCAAGAAAAATGGGGTATACCTGCTTTCATTCGACTTTGATTGTTTATGAATTGTTAGTAAGAGCAAACTCCGAAAATTTCCCTTAGAGACTCTGTCCAGTCTTGAAACCAACATTTTTGTTATACCATGATTTAGAGATTCCAATGAAGGATTTGTACCGTTTGAAACTAGTTTTGAACTTCTCATTCAATTATACAAGCTTTTTTGTTTTGTTTGTATATTGGAAAGAAAGTTTGTAGACTCAGGTATTGTCTACAGACAGTATTATTTAGTTTTGAAGTAATAAGACGAATATACAGGGTTGTGCATAACCTTTTGCTAGGGGGGTAGCGCCATTATATCAAGTTGAATACCTAATGAAATTTATACTAAATTAAAGAGCGTCGAAAACTGGATTTCTTAGTACTAAATAGTAAGGGTTATCAAAATATGTTAATGTCGAACTTACGAAATTTTCGGAAATTTTATGCTTTTTTTAGCGTAAAAAATTAAGGCACCGGCAATTTTTTATAGGTAAGAAAAATACTCGATTTTTTCAATAAAATTAGATTTTTTCATTATTTTTACTAGCAAAGACGCTTCGAGATATACTCGTCAGACGCAGTTTTTCACGCTGCACCGGAGGAGTATATTTCGAAGTGTCTTTATCAATAAAAATAATGAAAAAAGCTAATTTCATTGAAAAAATCAAGTGTTTTTCTTCCATATAAAAAAACGAGTTTCTAGAGATTTTTTAGGATTTTACAAGTCATTTTTTAAATTTTTTATCTGAAAAAATGGCTAAAAAAATTTCTGATACATACAGTTTTGTAGAGCTCGACGAGCTCTATCGAACCATATAAAAATATCAAAAGAAAATATCTTACTCTATATTTGAATTGGTGGTGCCTTCATTTTCTATGGTAAAAAAAGCATAAAATTTCCGAAAATTTCGTAAGTTCCACATTAAAATATTTTGAAAACTCTTACTATTTAGTACTAATAAATCCATTTTTCAACGCTCTTTAATTTGGTATAAAATTCATTAGGTATTCAACTTGAAATAATGGCGCTACCCCCCTAGCAAAAGGTTATGCACAACCCTATATAAATAAAAATGTGGATAATGCTTTTCATATATTGCATTTAGGTTTTAATGATTAATTAGACCGAATAATGCATACATTTTGTTTAATGATGTTGATGTTCTTTTCATCAAAGAGAAAAAAAACGATTTCGCATCTTTGAAATAAGAATGAAAGTACAAACAAAGCGGAAAAGTGAAAATTCCATACTTCAACGTACTAAAATCACGCTTTTCTCCTTTTAACATAAGTTCTTACTTTACAGTTATTTAGGAACACAGAAATTTT